GGACATGGAAAAAAAGACAAAAAAAAAAAAATAGTCCTGTGCCTTTGTCTTTACCCAAGTTATGCTTCTTTTTTTTTTTTTTTTTTTTTTCCTTTTTGTCTTTTTTCGTGACCGGCAACGGATCGCAACCCTCGGTGTTGCCCCCGCGCCTCGCTCAGCCAGTGAGCGGCCAGTCTGTATATGGGATCCGAACCCTCGGCGGGAGCGCCGCCGCGCTTCCCAAGCAGCGCCCTAGCGCAGTGCGCCACTGGGCCGGCCCCACAGGACTATTTTATGAAGGAAAAAAACTATAGAGGAACTGCTCCAAGGAAATGCGATACACTCAATGTGGTTAAGTCTTCCCCTGAATCTCCGTGGGCATGGGGGTGAACAAATGGGAAAGGAGTGGTATGTAAGTGTATCCCACACTTGGGTGGGTGTTGTATTTGAGTGTAGGTGAGCATCAGCTCAATGAGCATGCCTGTTGCCATATGTGCATGCTACATCTGACTGTGCACAATGTCCACATGAGGGTCTGTGGCACCAGGCTGTCTAACTCCAAGTGAGTGGATGTAACATCCAGATGAATGTGGCTAACCTGAGTATTTAGACTCCTAAGAAGTATGTTTGACATCTGAGTGTGTCTAACATCCCAAAGTAAACGTGTGTGTGTGCGAAATCTATACATGTTTATGATGTCAGCCAAAGTCAATAAATGTTTAAATTAAATTATTTAATTTAAATTGCAACAAAAACAGAAACCCAGATTTTTACTTTATAGTTCAGCATAGTGTGAAGGTTCTTCTGAGCATTTTTTTCTACTTGGCAGCTTAAGCTGCTTAGCTCTATCCCACCCAACCCCATATGAAATCATAAAGAATAGCGAAGGATATTTTCTGGGAGGATAAAGTGTGTAGTGAACATATGGTTCCCATACGACTGGGATTATGTGCCAAAGTATACCCAGCAACTCCCCCAGTCCATTCAGAGGCAAATCTGCAATTGCAGCCAAAGAGATGTAAACCACTTTGTCAGATAAATCTGTTTGCCAATAGATCCAGCCTCTCTCAAAGCCAAGGGAACTCTGATTAAGGACAGGGAGAGAAAAAACAGCACTTGCTCATCATATAACTTTAGGAAGGAATGGAGGAAAGAAATAGGAAACTGATAATTATTTTTCTTTCTTGTAGTAACTTAATTTTCATTCTCTTGAGAATGCATTTGTCTAAGAGCATGTTTTTTTCAGCTTGCTGGTAATGATAAAATCATACCTAAATGAGAATCACCCCTCAAAAGTCATATCTTCATTCTCTTGAGAATGCATTTGTCTAAGAGCATGTTTTGTTCAGCTTGCTGGTAATGATAAAATCATACCTAAATGAGAATCACCCCTCAAAAGTCATATCTCTAGCTCAAAAGGAGTGGTGGCAATGGACTATTCAGGGTTATTTGTAAAGAGAAAGGATATTTTTTAGCAGGAACATCCTGATAGCATGAGAGAAGAATAACTTAAAATGCTCACCACACAATACATAGCACTTACTCATACATTTTCTCCTCTTGTGACACTTTTCTTTTTGCCAGTGAGAAGATGGACAATTATGACCGTTTTCATTGCATTACTTATCCTGAGGTCCTCTTCATACAGGGCTCTGAAAACTACGCTGTACCTCCACCCCATCTCGTTCATTATAAGGCACTGCTGGAAGGTCAAGAAGGGTTTGTATTTTTAGTTTCAGCATCTCCTGCCATCTGAGGCAAGAACACTCCACTCTGGCCGCAGGTTCCAAGACCCCCAACCTCTGGAGGACAGCTGCCTCAGACACCTTTAAGAGTAAAACCTACAGGACTCCCCTTTGGGAAGCCCTGCTGCATGACCCTCTTGCTCCCTCTGGTTCCTAAGCTAATGGTTTAGATGGTGACTCATGCTTCTCTGACCAGATTACACTGAGGGGGGCCAAGGACCAATCAGAGCCACTTTTCCATCAATAACAATTCCTGTGGCCCCCTTTCTATATCTAGGGAAGAAGTGTCTAGCCAGGAGCCATACCATTTCAAAATGTTGAAGTCAGGTGACAGATGGAGTGTACACTTTAACTCACAAGTGAAGATTGCCTGACTCCAGAAAGGTGCACATTTCAGTCCCTGTTCTCCAAGAAAGATGCATGTCTTAGTTCAGGTTCTTCCAGAAAAAGCTAAAACCATATTCAAGGATAAAAGACTGAAGGCTTTCTCTTTAAAATCAAGATCAAGAAAGGATGTCTGATCAACCTTGTACTGGAAAGTGTAACCAGGGAAATAAGGCAAAATTAATTAATTAATTAATTAATGGCACCTATCTTAAAAAGGAAGAAGTAAAACTTTTTATTTGCAGATGATATGATCCTGTATGAAGACAATCCTAAGGCCTTTCTACACACATACATACTCACCAACTAGAACTAATATATGGTTTCAACAAAGTCACAGGATACCAGATCAATACATAAAAATCAATTTTATTTCTGTTATTAGCAAAGAGCAATCTGAAAATAAAATTAAGCAAATAATTCCATTCACAATAGCACCAGAATAATGAATTGAATTTAACAAATGAAATGAAATACATGTACATTGAAAAGTAAAAATTGCTGAAATAAATTAAAGATTTAAATAAATGGAGAGACACTCCATGGTCATAGATTTGAAGAGTCAACATTAAGATGGCAATTCTCTTCAAATTTATTTGTAGGTTTACTGTAATCCCTGTCAGAATCCCAGGAAACTGAAAAAACTAACAAGCTGATCCTAAAATGTATGTGGAAGTGCAAG